TGTCTGGGGACAGCCGTGCATGGAGGGGCCGCTGCCCCGGGGCCCTACAGCAGGTAAGGGGATTTTGGGGCACGGGAGCTCCTTGGGGAGCAGCAATCCCCGATAAAGCACAGCAGGAGCCTGGATCTGTTCTGTGCCTGGGGAGGGGGCGGCTCGTGGTGTCCCTGTGGCCGTGCCGGGGTGGGGGTGGAGGAGGAGGAGGAGGGCAGGACCCCCAGATGGGCTGGGAGGGGGAGGAAATGTGGGAGGAAAGTGCTGCAGGCTGGGTGGGCTCTGAAAACATCACCAGGTCTGGAAAAACCTGCAGCTGTGATGAAGTTCCTGAGCTGGTCTGAGAAAGCTGAGATGAACATCTCCCCTCTCCCTTCTCTTCTCTGCCCTCTCCCTTGGTGCCCGGGGAGATGCAGGGCAGAGCTTCAGCCTCTCCTGGGGCACAGAGCACCCCACACTGCCCTGCTCTGGGGCCAGGGCGCCTGGGCTGGGCTGGCTCTGCCTTCCCTCCTCTCTCACTAACCCTGACACGGCCTTGCTGTGGCCAGCTCCAGCCTGAGCCTGCAGATGCCATGGCCTGGCCACCACCATGGCCTGGCCACCACCATGGCCTGGCCACCAGCCCGGGCCATCCCCCACAGCCTGGAAGGAGCCCAGTGTGGGTATGTGCTGCCTGCCCTGGCTGTGTCACCTCCTTTTCCACCCCCTGCTCCACCAGCCTGGCTTCTCCAAGCTCCCTGAGGTCCCCGGGACGGGAGCATCTCCCTGTCCTTGGCAGGTTCCATCGTGGGATAGGAATTCCCAGCTGGCAGCAGCTGAGGCACTGGTGGCACAGTCTGTGCCTGGAATGGCACAGCACCAGGAGTTCTGTACCAGGAATTCAGCGGGCACGGCTCCATCCAGGGGCTCAGCCCTCTGCTCCGGTGGGTTTGCAGTCAGGGATTATTGCCCTGGAGGGCTCCGGAGCTGAGATCCTCCCACCCTCTGTCCCTCGCCCCAGGGGCAGCTTGAACCTGCTCCGGTGGTCCGGCCGTGCCAGGCTCCTGTGAGGGTGAACAAGAGAGCAGGGAGGAGGAGGAGGAGAGCTGAAGGGATGGGCTGTGCTAATCACCAGCCCCTGATTAACCCCTCGTGCCTCTCTCTCCCCGGCAGCCGGGGAGCTCCCGCGGCCACCGCAGCAGGGATGTCCGAGAGCTCCTCCAGCAAGGAGGGTGTCCCGGGCGAGTGCCCCGTGTGCTACGAGAAGTTCCAGCCCCTGGAGGCCACGCACCGGCGCCTCAGCTGCGGCCACACGTTCTGCCACGACTGCCTGGTGAAGTGCCTGCTGTCGGCCAAGCTGGACGGGCACGTCCAGAGCAGCATCATCTGCCCCGTGTGCCGCTTCGTCACCTTCCTCAGCAAGAAGAAGGCTCTGTGGCCGCCCAGGGCGGGCACCAACCCCCGGACGCTGGAGATGCCTCTGTCGCCATCCTCCTTGTCCCAGCTGGCCAAAAGCCAGGCCAGCAACACGCTGGTGGTGCCCAGTCACTTCGTGATGCCGGTGCAGAGCCTGGAGCGGAGCTCGGCGGGGCTGCCGGGGGTGCTGGCACGGGAAGCTCACATCTTTGTCATCAGCGACCACGGGATGCCGCTGGTGGCCACGGACTGCGGCTCCCTGGGCAGGAGGAGCAGGACCAGCTCGGTGTCATCCAGCCCGGCCCTGGGGCTGCAGTGCTGCCAGTCCCCCATGGCCCTGGCCGTGATGCTCGTCCTGACCGTGGCCATGCTGGCGGCCGTGCTGCCGTGGCTGCTGCTGGTCAGGAGGGACTTGTAGCAGGGATGGGGACACCGGAGTGGTGGCACTGCTGCTGGGACACGGCTGGGGCCTCTCTCTGAAGGCTCCTGGAGAAAGCCCAGAAGAAGCTTTGGGTGAAGTTCTCTTGTCTGGCCAGGAACCAAATGGACTTTCAGACCTTCCTGAAGATCTCCAGGTGCTCATGGTGTCACTGGTGGCATTTCTGTCCCTTTTGGCTAAAATCCAGCTGCCCAAACCCTGCTGGTGGCTTCCTCCAGGGTGTCTGTGGAGAGGATCCTCCTGCACCCTGTGACAGCACCTGCAGGGGCCGAGGGTGCTGCTCCTGCTCTGGGTGCGCTGGGACTGCAGCACCAGGCACAGCCGAGGGCTCTGGGGTCAGGGCTGCCAGGCTGTGGGGCTGCTGGAGGTCCCCAAGCTCCCAGGACATCAGGATCACCGTGATGCAGCCAGCCTGGAGCAGAAACTCACGGCTTCCATCCCAGGGATGGGGAAATCAGAGCCTGCAGCTGCCGGGGGCAGTGGAACCAGAGGATGGAGAGAAGGATGCTGGCCCTGCTGAGCTCACCCTCCCCTCTGCCAGCCTCCCTGCAGTGCCATGGCTGGGAAGAGAGGCCAGCTTACCCCACAGGCAGTCCCAGCCGTGCCCTCCCTCACCTCTCTCTGAGCTCACCATCCTCCCATTGTCACAGCATCCCTCCTGCCCGGGGGACCCAGGGACAGGGGGTGGGAGTAAACCCAAGTTCTGGCCATCATAAGGGGGCAGATTTGGGATCCTGCCCTGCTGTCCTTGCTAGAGCCCCTTGGCAGAGTGACATTTCCCTGTCCCTGGATGCCCTCCTGAGGTCTCACAGCCAGGGGCTCATTTTCACCTGTGCCAAACAGGCTGGGCACTTCTCAGCCCCTCAAACTTCCTGGCTTTGCCCTCTTTGGGGCTGGTCCCACCTGAGGGGACCCCAGTGTCAGCCCCCAGCCCAGGGCCCTGCTTTGGGAGGGCAGTGGGCAGCAGGGAGGCCCAGCTGGGATTTGGGAAGCTCTGGGCCTGCTCTTGGGTTGCTGGACACCCCTGCTGGTGCTGGGGTCACTCATGGCATTGTCCCCAGCCCAGTCTGCACCTGAATCACCTTTGTCCTCCTGACCCAGTCCCTGGGCCTGTAGGTGCTGCTCCCACTCTGTCACCTGGGAATGTGTCACTTCATGGGCACCCCAGTGTGAGCAGAGTGTCCCTCACTGTCCCCCAGTGTGAGCAGAGTGTCCCTCACTGTCCCCCACGGGAGGTGACAGTGGGGCACAGGGATGGCACAGGGCTGGCAGAGGGCTCCCAAGGGAGGGACAAACACAGCCAGCAGTGCCACCGAGGTGGCTTTGGGGCTGGACAGAACTTTTCAGGGCAACAAATAAGGATGACTTGGGGCTGGGAAGGGGGAGCAGTGTGGGGCAGAGCAGCTGATGGTGTCCCCTGCCAATCCTGGGCTCACAGTGGGGACACTGCCCTGCTGGCCTGCTGTTCCCTGTGAGGTTCCTGTGCTCCCCTAGCCCTGTCCCAGTGTCCCCACCCCAACCTGGGGTGCCATGACCCTGAGCCCTGTGCCTGAGACACTGCACTGGAATGGAAACCCTGTTTCATAAGAAATGCTGACCTGATCATGACGTGTCCATGCCTCATTGTTTAATAATAAACCCTATTATTAATCTGTCTGGGCAATTATTGTGGGGTGCCAGGGCAGCAGCCCCTTGGCACAGGGCTGTTGGGAGGTGGCACAGGGTGGCTGCAGCCCTGGAGATGTTTGGGGAGGCAGTGGGGACTGGGAAGAGCCCCAGTGGCAGCACTGGGAGGGGTTGGGGATGTCAGGGCCGTGCACGGGACCCAGGCTGGGGGTGACATCCATGGACCCGGAGGAGAGGAGGCTGTTTCCCACAGGGTGGCACTGCTTGGCCAGGGATGGCAGCTCCTGTGCTGCACTGCCATGTCTGGTGCCCAGGGCCACTGCCCCCATGTCCTGCTGTGCTCTGGGCTGATCTCAGCCGGGCTGGGGCTGCTCCAGCAGAATCCCTGCAGAGCCAGCAGGTGCCATTTCCCTGGCTGGAGAGCACACCCTGCCCTCCCACAGCCCAGCTCCCATCTCTGCAGCTGGCAGAGGGCTCTGAGCCCCTGCAAGGGCTGTGTAATGCACCAGGAGCGGCAGGAAGTGGCATTTTTATGGCACGGGGATGGCAGGAGTGGGAATTGCGCAGGCCCAGGAGTGCTCACTGGGCAGGCACAGCTGCAGGCTCCATTAGGAGCCTCAGAGAGCCCCGGCTCCATCAGCCAGATCTGGCCATCAATAATTGAGGAGGA